TGTGTGTGTGTGTGTGTGTGTGCGTTCTTGTGTATGTGTGATCATCTGACTGAAATTATGAAATCGTAAATACAAAAAAGAATTCTCAGGTGGTCTTCCGTCTTCAATGCCTTTTACATCACATACCATTTTTTAATTTCCAATGGTTGTATCAAGTACTATTTTTCCTTTTAATTTATCTCATTGCTTTACCTTTTAGTTGGTGAAGAGAAACTCCACTGTATATTGACAAATGCAAAGTTCTAAATGTTGGACAATTAAATAACCATGCCACATATAAACTAAATAATGTAGATCTTAATACTACCGATTGCGAAAAGGATTTAGGAGTTCTGGTTAGTAGTAACCTAAAACCAAGACAACAGTGCATTAGTGTTCGCAATAAAGCTAACAGAATTCTTGGCTTCATATCTAGATGTATAAATAATAGAAGTCCTCAGGTTTTTCTTCAACTCTATATATCCTTGGTTAGGCCTCATTTAGACTATGCTGCTCAGTTCTGGTCACCGTATGACAGAATGGATACAAATGCTCTGGAAAACGTACAGAGGAGGATGACAAAGATGATCCCATGTATCAGAAATCTTCCCTATGAGGATAGACTGAGGGCCCTGAATCTGCACTCTCTCGAAAGGCGTAGAATTAGGGGGGATGTGATCGAGGTGTATAAATGGAAAACAGGAATAAATCAAGGGGATGTAAATAGTGTGCTGAAAATTTCCAGCCAAGACAGGACTCGCAGCAATGGTTTCAAGTTGGAAAAATTCAGATTCAGGAAGGATATAGGAAAGCACTGGTTTGGTAATAGAGTTGTGGATGAGTGGAACAAACTCCCGAGTACAGTTATTCAGGCTAAAACCTTGTGTAGTTTTAATAATAGGTTAGATAAATACATGAGTGGGTGTGGGTGGGTGTGAGTTGGACCTGACTAGCTTTGCTGCTGGGTCTGGTACAGTGCTCCATCCTTGAGTGGGGATGACCAGACTGGGTGGGGCATTGGGATAATCCGGGGGGTGGGTCATTGGTCTAATCCGGGGGGGGGGACATGGACCTGCTCCGCGTGGGTCAGTAAGCCTGTTGCAGTGTTCCTTCTTTCTTGTGTTCTTATGTTTTAATTTTCTACTCTAACTTTACAAGTGTGGATTCTTGTCCATGTTGCAAGTGCTAAGAATTCATCTTTATTTTCCCTGTCATGTTATTTTATAACTTTGGACGTTGTTATTATGTCTCCTCTTTTCCTCCCACAAGCCAGCGTGGGAATCTACACTGTTAACAATGTTTCTTCATAACAGAAGAACAAAAAGGCATTATAACATGACTGGAAGAAAAAGGCACAGTACCATGACTGAAACACAAAGGCACAATACCATTACTGGAACAAAAAGGCACAATACCGTGACTGGAACAATACACGAATAACTCGCACATAGGAGAGAGAAGCTTACCACGACGTTTCGGTCCTACTTGGACCATTTTCAGGCCACACAATGGCCCAAATCGGACCAAAACATAGTCATAATCTTCTATAGATTTTTTTGATCCATTTCTAATTGCCCACATTTTTTTTTTTAGATGAAGGCACCACACAGCTGCTTCATATTCCAATTTTGGCCCAACATATGTTGTAAATAAATTATTTTTAACGTACTTCACCCACCTGCCTAGAGGGCATTCCGGGGGTCAACGCCCCCGTGAACCGACCCACGACTAGACCTCCTATATTTATAACTATTTTATAGTTTTTCGGCGTAACTTAGGAATTTCTCGCAAATTTGCTTACATGATCGTCATGTGAATTTTGATAATAATAACTTACACCCTCCCTTTATTTCCCTCGCTCTTAAGGCATTTATCTATCTTAAATTCCAGCATTTATCTATCGTAAATTCCATCATTTATCTATCTTAAATTCCATCATTTATTTATCTTATATTTCGTCATTTATCTACCTTAAATTCCACCATTTATATACTTTAGATTTTATCATTTATCTATCTTAAATTTCAACTTTTCCTACTGTAACTGTTCACATTTTCTCTCTCTCTCTCTCTCTCTCTCTCTCTCTCTTCTCTCTATATATTTATATATATATATATATATATATATATATATATATATTTGTTGTTGTGTTTATGTTGTATGTGTGTTAGTAGATTTTATTTAGTGTGTGTGTGTGTGTGTGTGTGTTTGCGTGAGTCATACTGTTGATTACTCACGCAGACAACTACACCACACCGTTACCCCCTTCCCCTCCCCTTAAATCCCTCATACCACCTCCCCTCCCACATTCCCCCCCTCCACAACAATCCTCCACCCTCTCCCACACCGTCATTTTGACCCTCTTCCACGGTCCTTCGTCCTTGATCTTGCTCCCACACCCACCATTCTTTATTCTACAGGATATCGCCGCATCCACTGTGTTCAAGGCAGCAACACTCACAGGATAACTACTGTGACCACAGGATAACTACTGTGACCACAGGATAACTACTGTGACCACAGGATAACTACTGTGACCACAGGATAACTACTGTGACCACAGGATAACTACTGTGACCACAGGATAACTACTGTGACCACAGGATAACTACTGTAATCACAGGATAACTACTGTGACCACAGGATATCACTGTCACCATAGGATAACTATGATTACAAGACAAGAGTGGCCATGACAGTAGCACCCACATGATTTATTAGCGCTAAATCAGTATAGATCGTCGAACGCAAGAAGTGGTGGAGGCTCTGTCCTCCTTCCGTTAATAGCGAGAGACAGACAAACTCTGCTCTCGTTGCCAGTG